GACGGGCGTAGAAGTGAAACAGGTCTTTGGTTTCGAGAGGGGCCGCTCAGCACTCACAGGAGTTGGGTTGATTCGCCTCGATGGTTTGCTTTTGCTGAAAAGAAGAGAAGCAATTCCACTAAAATCAAGCTCAACAAGAACAAAAAAATTCGGTCTCAAGACAGATGTGCAATCAACTCTTCCAGAGGAATCTAATGCTAAAACAAAATGGATGTCGAGTGGGGATATTGAATTTCTAAACTGTACCTATAGTTATCAATTTTATGCTATCACTGAAAAAAAGTCACAGAGCTACAGACTGCTAAAAACAGCCTGCTGAACCTGCAGCAAAATTAATTATCAAATAGCAAGCCATCTAACAGGTACCACAGTGCCATACAACCCTTCCAAATGTTTCTAATTTTCAGGACAGGATATGCCCATTTTTGTAAGAAACTGCTGGTGAATTCATTTCTACCATGATCAGGAGAAAAAAAAAAAAAAAAAAAAAAAAAAAAAAAAAAAGAAAACCAAAACTAAAATCAATCAAGTTGCCATTGTCTATCAGTGAGAGTCCAGGCTCCCAAGTTACATTAGGCCATTTAAGTTCAGGGAAACTTATCCTTCCTGCATAAAATACTTGGATTTGTCCTTCAGGAAGAGCCTTGGTAAGTAGCAAAAAACACTAAAAAAATGGAAATGGATACAGAAACATAAAGCATCACAGAAATGCTGGTTGCTACATATTAACTGCAAAGGTGTTCTCAAAATTGCTGTAACATTGATTTCCAAGGACTTGTGACCCCTTTCCTCCTTTTTCCTGAGCATTAATGCAATTGAGGAAGAGAGACTTGCTGGTTGTGCTGGAAACACACCTTATCTCCCTTGGCCAAAGCATCATCTAGAGCATGACCCAGACCCTGCATTTGGATTTGCTGTACAGACTCACACATTTTATAATTTTTAGCTGGAATTTTGCATGCCCACTTTTAGAGACCAATGACTGATATACAGAGCAAACAGGCTGACACAAAGACTTTATATTTGGAAATGAGGATTTTAAAGAATGCAAAGACAAAGATTAAAGGACTGAGGCAACCACAACACAAACAGCTGCCCCAAAGTTTAGCTGAAGTCACCAAGGAGACCAGGCCTTGCTGCAGACCAAGAACACAGCCTGCTATTTGGTCCACAATTGCACAGCACAGACGAAGCTGCACACTAACATCTGCTACCAGAAGCCACAGAAGATCAATCCAAAAGCTTTTATGCTAGCATCAGTAAAGCTGAAGAGCCTTCCAGGATAGCTCTTCCTTACCAACTGATATTCTGTTAAATGAGAAACGTGAAAAGCCAAGATAACGCTGACTCGTTAGAGCACACAAGGACAAAGATGTGCTCAGCTTTGTACCAGCTGGGCTGTGCACTGGCAAGCTGCAGGCAGCATCACAAGTGAGAGGCGAAAGAGGCGTCTTGAGTGGGTCCACAGAGAGGAAACCTGACTCCCTGTCAAGGCAATATTCTCCTCCCTACATGGTGACCAGAACAAAGCAGTTCTGACCACGTTTCCCAGAAGCCAGGTATTGTGTGCTACAGCCTCTTCTGCATCTGGACACCCACAACAGCTGGTCAAGGAGCTGCAACCTGCAGCAATCCCAGTGACACAGCGAGACAGACTCACTCTTACTTTGTCCAGCCAGAGGCAGCACCCATGGGTGGAAACTCCTCCAAGTTGTTAAGGTTTAGCTGGCTGGGCGGGGATCTGGCAGAAACAAGAGGCACTTCACTCCGCTTCCTTCTCCCTCCACTCCACGATCCACTGTCACTCTTTCCGTCCTCCTCTTCAGGAAGGGAACGCCCCAGATCGCGAGCTACCTGCCGGCCAGAGGCACCGAGCGAGCTGCTGCCTTTCCTGCGGCCTCGTCTCACGGGCAGGGCTTCAGGCGTGGCCGTGAGGAAGCTCCCCAGGCTGGCCTTCTGAGAGGACCTCTTCTCACCGTGGTGGAGCACAGGGCTGTGCCCAAAGCTCGGGCTGCTGCTGGAGACCACGCTGGGGAAATCACCGTAAGGGCTAGAGGGGTTCGACCCAGAAAAGGAAGAGGAACCACTGGACGTTGCAGCAGGAGAAAAGCTGGTATCTGTGGTGCAGGTGGTCACTGAAGTCCTTTGAGAAAAGAGCTGCACTCGGCTGCTGGTGGCATGGCCTGCCCTCCTTTCTGATCCTGTCCTCTGGCTCCCATGAGCCTTGGAACTAGGAGTTTTAGCAGGAGTAGGCGGTCCATTAGTCAGGATCTGGCTGGTCTGCTCCCTTAAAAAATTTAGCAGAAAAGGCACAAAATCTTTCTGAAGCAAGCTAAGAGATACCAGCTTGTCATGGATGTGGTTCTCCTACAAGAGAAACAGACAAAAAATTAATATAAAGATGCTACCTGATTCTTTCTGCCCAAGGACCCAGACACGTTTAAGTAGTATCTATGGGATTTCAATACACAATAAAAACCAACATGACTTGTCAAAGTATATCACTGAAATTCAAGCAACCATAGTTCTGGTCACAGACCTGAAAATCATCCTACACACAAGCCATTTTGGCACAAGTTTTCAGATGGAGTCATTCACTTTGGTCTCTGACTGGAAAATAGTGGAACTGTTCCATGGAAACATCAGTAATACTCTCTGCAGCTATGGCCAGGGAGGACTTGGAGCAACTGACGACCCTAAGTTCAACATTTTGAAAACATCAATACTGAAAGCATCTAATTCTAACAGAAAAATCTAAAACCCGCAAGGTCTCTGTGCTCTATTTTTCTGTGAATGCCGCCTGCTCCCACAGAGGGGTGCTATAACAACAACCGCTGAAGCACTTGGAGCCCTGCAGCGCCAAATACAAGACCAAAGCTGCTCTTCCATTTCAGTTTAAATAATTTTGCTCGAGACCTCACAGAAGTCTAAACAGAGACTGTGCAACTTTAAGGTACATGAAATTTATTCTTGAGAAACTTAAATAAAACCCCCACCACTGACTCAACACATTCAAAATCTAAACAGGTGGCGGTGACCTTACAAGGGTAAATCTAGACCAAAATGACTTCACGCTACATGCACAGTTTGAAGGTTTGTACCCTGGGTAAAAATTCTTTTGATCCTAACACTCCACCAGGTTTCTGTTTCCTCTCAATGGGATTCAGCAACATTTGCAACAACAAAAGAAGTTCTCAAAGGCAGCAACTTTTTCCTTACTAATACTGAAAGCATTGCATACACATTCCAGTAAAGTTATATTCACAACCCTAACTAGATGAAAAGTCAAGAAAGCAAACACTATTTCTGAAGGTGGTTTCTGCATGAAAGAAAGAAGTAAAAGCAACATTAACATGCCTGTAACTGAACTCACACAATCTTCAACACCTATACTAAAATTCATATTTGAAAGCATGAGACCAATTCAGCTCCCTGGAGAAGTGTGAAATTCTGGCACAGCCCAGATAACAAGCAGCCAATAATCAGTGAAAAAGCGCAGCTCAGAATATAACCCCCATGAGGTGTTAGAAGACCATCTCCAGCCCAAAACTGCCAGGAGAGCTAGAGCAAGACATGGCCTAGCATTTCCTTCCCCTGGAATTAGCACAGGGGCACAAAGATGATTACAGTCTATGCTATGCATACGGTTGGGTGCTTTCTCCAGCTTTTCAGAGCACAACCTATTTTCACTCATCTTTCTCTGTCCAAGTTAACTGAGGTTTGGTTCCTCCACAACTGCGTAACAGCAGCCAGCTGCAAACCTCCCATTTGCTTTTCCATGCTGAAGTAACTGCACTGCTTCAAACAGCAAAAGGCAGTAAGAAATTCCCTTGCAAGGACAAACTTTCTGACCTCCACATCCCTCATCCACACAGTGCTAGTTGAGCTGCCAGGATCTCAAACTTCTTAATGTCTGCAGGTCTGCTTCTGCAAGTCACAGCTGAAGAAATACCACACAACATACAAGTGCTGGTCCACTCTTCCCACACGTTTAGGATGACAGCAATACCCAACTAACTCGTGGGGGTGACACCAGTGAGTTTTGATGTTAATACTAGGTAACACTATGCGAGGGGCTCAGATAGAAGATGCTTTAAGTACCAATTGCTTCTCTGTGTTATTCTCTATGTGAAACATAAGCGCTCCTAGTCCACCTACAGTTACAAATGTTTTTATTTCCACAGGAACCCAAATAATTCGTTACAAAACTCAGCCAACAAGCACCCTCTCCCAGTCCGCAAAGATCCTCCTCAAGGTCCGGGCGGGAGGAACATCCAGCCGGGAAGCGCGCTGGCGCCTGCACAGAGCCACACCAAGCCCGGGTGCCGACAGCCTCGTCCTCCTTCCACCGCTACCTTCCCCTACAAAGATGCGGGAAGCGTCATCCCTGGTGTCACCGCGCTCCCTCGGACACCAGCTGCGCTGCGCTGCGCTGCCCACCCTGGTCCCGCTGGGCTCTGCGCCGGCACACGGCGGCCCGGGCTGCCGGCGCTTCCCGCGCCCGCGGGGCCTCCCCGCTCCCGCCGCGGCGCCAGCGCCCGCCAGAGACCGCCCGGCGCCGGCGGCGCTGAGCTCCGGCGGGCTCAGCCCCGCGCATTCCAGCGGGTTTCACACGCCCGCCGGGCAGCTCCCGGCGCAGCTCCCCGCCGGCGGCCTCGTCTTCCCGCCGCCGTGCCCGGAGCCCGCCCGCGCCGGGGGCGGTGCCGCCGGCGGTTCGATACAAGCCCGGCCGCGGCCGCAGAACGGCACCTGACGGGGCCCCGGGCTGACCCACGCGGGCTTCGCCCCTCACAGCAGCGCGGGGCGGACAAACTTTCCCGCACGGCCCCGGCCCGCGGTAGCGGAGGGCGCTGGGGGAGTGGCGCGGCTGCGGGCCCGGCCCCGCCGGAGCCAGGGCGCTGCGAGCGGACGACCTAGCGCGAGTTACCTCAGCCGGGCGGTGGCCGGGGCCGTGCCGGAGCCACCGCACCACGGCGCTGACCGACACCTCTTCCTGTAGCAGCAGCTCCAAAACCGCCGCCATTCCCGGCCCCGCTCCCGCCGAGCACGCGCACAACCCGCGCCGGGGGCGGGCCCGGCGTGTCCCCCCTTGCCGCGGGGGCGGCGCCGAGCGGGGATTCCCGCCGGGGAGGCGGGCGGGGGCCGCGCCCCCTCCCCATGTCAACACGCGGGGCACGGGGCGCCTGCGCCGGTCCGTGCGCGTCTTTTCCTCTCATGCGCGGTATTTCCTTCCCCAGCAGGGCTCGGGGCCCGGCCTAGCGGCGGCGGCACCCGCGGGCCAGGGCGCAGGGTAAGGGCAGCGGCGTCCCGCCCTCCCCGCGGCTCCTCGCCCGCCCGGCGACACCCGCGACGGAGGATGGCCGAGGACTCGCCCAAACGGCGCAAGGCGAACTTCAACGAGGCGGAGACGGAGGTGCTGATCGAGCAGGTGCTGAAGCACGAGCAGCTACTGTTCGCGGCGGGACCCGGCCGCGCCTCCGCGGGCCAGAAGCGGAAGGTGTGGGAGCTGATCCGGCACAAGGTGAACCCGGTGGCCGCCTGCCCCCGCGACGTGGAGGACCTGAAGAAGCGCTGGCGGGACCTGAAGCGCCGCGACCGCAGCAAGCTGTGCCGCCTCTCGCAGGGCTGCGGGCCGCCGGCGCCCCCCGCCCTCGGCCTCCTCCTGGCCCCCGAGGAGCTGCCGCCCGCCGCCGCGCCGCCCGCCCGCCGCCAGCGCCGCCCCTACGGCTCCCTGCTGCCCGCCGAGGCCGTGCCCATCGTGGGCGGCATCGACACGCTGGAGCTGCCCGGCGCCGTCGTGGGGGACATGGGTGAGTGCGGGAGCGACCCCCGCGGCACCGCCACGGACCCTCCGCCCGGCGTCCCCCGCCGCAGCCGCGGGAGCCCCGGTGTGCGGGAGCGGCGCTGCGTGCGCGCGGGGGCCGCGGGGACCGGCCCGCAGGAAAGCGCTGGCTCGGATCCTTGGAAAGGCAGAAGGCACACAGAAGTGTGAGGCTCCGTGCCCTAGGTCATAGAAGTGCATAAGAACAGCGCCAAGAGTAAAAAGAGCGTCTCGTAGCAGATGCTGCCCATCCACGAGACGTTAGACCCGGCCACTGCTCTTCACTGTTGCCGTAGTTATTCCTGCAAATGTAAAAAGCCATGCCAGCGATATTGTCCTAGCATGCTGGAATACCAAGGGATTCTTGCAATCCAGTGTTTCAGCAATGCTCTTACTGTTTACTGGGCGCACCATAGAGCATGAAATGAGCTTGCAGTGGACTTTGGGATCTTAAAGCTTGGCTTCTGTGGTGGTAAGGGAGCTGTAGTATGCAGATACATGGTTAACTGGTGAATGCGTATTTATGGTTTTCTTACCACCTGTTAAGGTAATTTGTATTCTCAAACCATCAAAGATAACATAGTGTGAGTTTGAAAGTCTTGTTTCAAGGACTGATGTAAGTGCTTAGTGGATGAGAAAATGTGTCACCACTGAAGTTATGAAGTTTCTCATGGGCTTTACTTTGCTTTTCTTCCTTCCCCCCCACCTCTTCTAGGGTTTAATGGCAGTCCTGGCCCATCTCATCAATCCAGTCTTGAGCAGATGAACCTCAAAGAAGAAATAGTAGTGAAGGTGGTAGAGCCAGAAGAAAACTCTGAGGACATGGTAGTGGTTCCACCTAGTCAAGAACAACTGCCTTTCCTGGGGACGTCGGGCGGTGGTTCCTCTGGGAAAGTAAAAGCCAAAACAAAAGGCAGGTGCCAGGCAGACCAAAATGAAATGACTGAAGAGGACCTACTGCAGATTCAGCAGACCCAAATACAGGTGATCCAGTCTGGCTTTGACAGTGTCAACCACAATCTTCGGCTGCTGCAGCAAGGCATGCAAGATCTGAATAACAGCATCAGCATCATGGCACATACACTTGTTGCTATCAAGAACGTCTATGTGAAAAACAACACTGGCCCAACCACACATGCCACTGCATCTACTCAGACCACAGCTGGGTACCTGAGCCCAGGATCCCCCCAGCTCTCCCCTGCTAAGGACAGAGCTAGAGCACATGTGGCTGGAAGCAGCAGCAGAAGCAGCAGCTGCAGCTCCAGCTCCATGTCACAAGAACCAGGTCCTTCCGAGTTTCCCAGGCCCCCCCTGAGACCCATTAAGAAAGAACATCCAAATGGCTGCTACTACTTCTGCTTTGCAGATGTGTAAAAACTTGAATAGTTGTAAAATGACTGTGTTGTTGGGTGCTAATGTATGTTCTGCTCCGGCCTGTGACTTCGAAGGAGCAAAATGGACTTGCCTCCCATGTTTTTCCCAGTGGGAAACATTTTGCTATAGGTGGCATTAAACACTAATTACCAGTCTCCAGTTAACTCTGTTGCAGTTGGCTAATAAATTTCTTCTCTTTTCTTTATCCTCTTATTCTCTAAAAAAACCAAACATTTATTTTGAGTAAGACTTTTGTCTGTATCATCCTTTGTTTAATGTCACCTTATGAAAAATAAAAGGCATGAGAGTGGGGTAAAAAAGTAACATTATGGTTACTACCACCAGGAGCTATCTTACAGAAGTTACTTGGTTCTTGGATTAAACAAGCCTCAGAAGTAGCTGGCTTTTTAAGTACTTCCCTTTTCTAATAGTTATGTTGGGGCTGTTTGCTTGGTTGTTGTTATTGAGATTTTATAAGTCTGAGCTGTGCATCACATGAGGAATTTGAGTTACTTGCTTATTCTAGGAATGGTTTAGCACTTAGCATTCACTAGCATTCATGAGTGCCCTCCTCAGAAGTCATACAGCATTGTTCCACTTGGCTGTTGTTCATTCCCAGCTTGTCAAATGCACCTTCTCTTCAGAGACATTGTGTTTTACTGCACTAGCAGAGTAGTCTCTTTTTTTAACCAGTCACATGGTTAAAATAGAGAAGTACAGAAAAATAAGGAATGGATGAGTGATGCTTGTTTCTGACATATTATATGTAGGCATATAATTTCTGACAGATTATATGTAGGCTGTATCTTCATCTGATTTTGTTAGCCTTATGGAATCAATACCATAGTATTTGAAATACAGAGAACAAAAAGCTTTGTATTGTTTTACATGAAATGGAAGTCAGATCTGCTGTTTAATTTCAGGAGGCAGGGGCTCACTTCATTCCAAACAAATGCTCCTGCATAGCTTAGAAAGCTTTCATTATCATTTCATTTCTCGTACTATATAGCCAAGGAAGAAGAAAGATGAGAGAGTTGGTGCAAAATGTAACCTGTTGTCAACTCTGAAACAAGCAAAAATCATTTTCTCTTCATGCCAAAAAGAAAAATTGCCATTTCACATTTAGATAGGGAAAACTATTGTCAGTGGCACTATTTTAAGTTGTGTTTCAGGCTTACATATTCGAGCCACTCTACTTTGCACAATTCAGAAGTAGCAGAGGTGCAATATTCTTATATCTGGTGTCTGTACTGGAGGTCAAACAAAAACACTCTCATCTGAAATTTTGTCCAATGACTTGAAAAATACAGGTGCTCTTGTGTAGCATTTATCACCAACATTTAAAAAGGTTTTGCAGATAAATTTGGCCTATAGCAATGACTAGCTGCTTCTAGTGTTATAGTCAGTTTGCACAAGCATTCCTCTGCAGGAATTTAGCAAATACAAATAACATAGAGAGTCACAATTAAACTGTCCCTGTCCTAGAAGCATAAGACTATGTAATCATAGCATAAGGTATGCTACTTTTGCAGTCAGCTTTGACTGAACACCTCTGTATGAAAATGTACTTCATTTCTGCTGTTACACCATTTTGGTGTACTGAATTAACTCATCTGAACTTCAAAAACCAGCCACTGCTGCCTACTAAAATGTGAAAACAGGGTCATCAGTTAGCAAGTGTTTCCCTTCAGAATCACAGATGGAGTAAAATATGAAAATATCTCACAAAAATAAAATGTATACATGTACAGCTCAATGTTAATTGGGATTAATGCCTTGAAGAAGAGAAAGGGTTTTTTTCCAGGTTTACTTTAACAAAAGATGATGTTATGGGTGACAGGTATTATGAAATTGTGGAGTTTAAGAATGACAAAGATCCTTCTAAATCAGATTTTTATGTCTATGTTGCTAAAAGCTTTCCAAATTAACTTGTTGGAAGCATTATTTCTCCCCCATCAGTACAGATGGGCTCTCTTGAGCAGGGTTTTCTGTATTTTGTTCTCATGGACACAGAAGCTAATTCATGCTACCATGACATTCCAGCTAGATTAGCAAATGCGATTTACCTGGTCGTTCTGGGCAGCAGTTTGAGCTTGTCCAGGTTGCATCTGGCAGGTCTTACCTGTCTTTCTCTTGATGTTTCAATTCTTTTTGCAGCTGTTAATTCTTGAATTTCACGCACTACAACATTTCCTGGGAGAGGTGATTTGTGTCTGCTGTCTCATGTTCCAGTACTGATTTACGTGAGAGGCAGCTACAGTGCGAGTAGGGAAGTGCAGTAAGAAGTGAGCAGAAGGGGCAGATTGGATCTCCTGTATGAATGAAGACAAGCCAGGCAATGCTAAAAGACACTGTGGTGGTCAGACAACAACCAGACCTCAACACCAATGTACCACAGCACGTTTGTTCTGATCTTGCTTCTTGCCCTATGTTTCAGTTGTACCGTTAAAATATACTGGAGCCAGATCAAAATCACTCTTCCGCTTCTGACACATTCTAGATTTACATATTTTAAATACAAGAGACTCAGCTACCTCTCATCACTACAGAGTGGGCAAAATTGTTACTTTCATCTTCAAATTAATACAGTTGGTTGCTATTTCTTTACACACCCTTTCTGTGATCACGTGCACCATCCAGAAGCCATGCCATTAATTTTCTGGCTGCTCTTAACAGACGGTGAAACATAATTTTCTTGGACTGTTACTGAGTAAATGAATTCCCAATTTGTTTCCTGTGAAGCTATCCAGGCTATTTGTATAAATGACAAGAGCTAATGCCCTGGTCATGAAGCTTAATGAAAATACTGCCAATTATTTGAACAAAGGCAGAGCTGTCTTTAAATTTGCCTGAATGCATGGCACAACAGTGGTAATATTGAGAAAGAAATCCAGGGAATTTTCTCCAATTCTTCTGGACTTCCCTAAAAGACTTGTCCTGCTGTGCAAAGTGCAGACTGTTTGCTGGTAGCATAGGACTAAGACATTCAGGCACACAAACCACAAATATTTGTGATGATTTTACACTCTACTTTTACACTCAAACTTAGCATTACTAAAAAGAGAAATAAAAGGGTCTTGGAGAAAACTAGAGCAACTGGTAGCTTAACACTGCATTTTCCCCATAGCACTCAGATTCAGTGACAACTTCCATTCATTCACTTCTCTGCTATCTGCTGCTTACGTTTATGGTACAGAGGGAGACAAGTCTCCTCAAGAGACTGTACAAGCTTAGTGACTACATCCAGACAGCTGATTATCCCCAAAAGAGGTCAATTATAGTGACCTCTGACTGAATAAAAAAATACAATTTTGAAGGGAAAAATGCCATCAGCAGCTGGCTTTTCAGTATCACCATATTGTTACTTAAATTGACCTGGTCTGCCTGTGCCAATCATTTATTGTTTAGATGAACACAGACAGAAGGGATAAGAACAAATAGAAAGTCAGGTTTCTGAGGAGGCCCATTTGGATCTTTCTGTAGTTACTAATATACAACACATGAACCTACTAAGTCAGTTAAACTTCCACTGAGCCAATCATTTCAATTTGCAATATGAACATCTGATTCACGTTGCAGTAGTACCAACACATGCTTGCTTTTTACTTTCTCAAAACAGGGAAAAAAACAAATCACTGCTGAAGCACTTTATCCATTTAAATTACAGGGTTACAGTAGTAAAAAACACTGAAAAATATTTCAGCTAAAGCTTTATAAGTTAATGAATCATTATACAAACACAATCAAGAACTGAAGTTTTGCATGCTGAATGAATATTTTATTTAGAACCAGTTTATAAAAATAAAATACAAAATAATTTGAAAACAAAACTTAAACATTGTACAAAGCCTTGATATGGTACAAATGAGAAAATAAATAATTACAACTTTATGTACAAATGACCATTACAAGGGCATTAACTCTTTATGCTCTTGGGTGTCTGAGCAAACTTAAGTGAAAAGAATGGCTTAGAGGATTTCCAAGGAGGGGAAGAGAATTGCAATTACTGAGTAAGAGAATTTGAAGGACTCAACATTTGTCTTCCTCAATGGTAAAAAACAATCTCAGAACTACTTTCCACTTAATTTAATCACACTGCAGACTTTACTATCGAGTACTTGATTTCTTATGGGGTTTACAACATTGTCTTTTTAATTAATGCACAGAATTAATTCTTTGTGATATTGCCCAGAGATTTTAGATTAGCAGCCATTGGTTGGCCACTTCAAAAAGTCAGTACTTGTCTGAAGGCATTGCTGGTGATTTCCTTAATTTACTAGTTTGGATGTTCATAGGAAAGCATTTGAAAATTGGCATCTGTTAACACAAGCACTGCAACTTGAGTCTGGGCTGACTCTATAGAAAAGAAAGTTAAAAGCTGGGGAAGAATTTCCAATCTTGCTTTCTAGCCAATGAAAGTAAAGATGAGGCAGAGAAAGCTGCTTGGCAACAAATCCAGACCTCCAGTCAGAAGAAAGAGATGTGAAATTGTCAAAAAAATCCTACTTCATTTTCCATCAAACCTTTATGACCATGCCTGCCATGCAGCAGATACAGGTTTAAAAGTATTTGATGCCAGGCAGACCAAATTAATTACATTGCATCTTTTGGAGCAAGCTGTTCTGCTGTTACCATAGGCCCTTTACATAAAAGGTCAAAGATCAAGTGGTCTCAAAACAAACATCAAATTAATTCCAGCTGAATTCCCACAGACACTTGTAGATGATGGGGGTCTCACATGAGTAGCCCACTTGTGGTACTCTTTTAAAAGAAACCACATTGTACTCTTGGCCAAAGCTGGCCCTCAATAGTAATTCTGACACAAAAGGAGAGATCCAGAGGTATGTCATGTCATGTAATAATAATAACAACAATAAAAAAAATTAGCATTTTCCAATTTAAAATACAGCAAGGGCAAATGTGATATTTATAGAGTGAGTTTATCTTTTCAGTCCCTAGTCAGGGGAAAGAGCCTTAACAAAACAGGACCCTATACTGATTTTAATGAAGTTGCACCTGCACAAGAACAGCAAGAACTCTCATGGGTCCAAGCTCTTCATGTAGAAGAGAAACAGGAGCATAGCATTTGGGTTTGTCTTTATTATTGTTGAGAGAATGTGTTATCATCAATGGAGAGTAAAATCAGCCTACCTGTTCACACCTGGGTGGCAAGAGTCATTGTATATTTAATACATCAGTCTTTGAAACAATGGACTCCTGTACATTTTTCCTTAAAAAACCCAGCCAAACAAAAACCCCTCCTTAAAGATATATATTTAAAAGCCTGATTATTTAAACCATATGAAAATTGGTGATAAAAAAATTTTGGCAATTGACAATATAATAAGATAATTCCTGACAATTATTATATAATCCAAGCTGATTTTATATAATTTCTTTCACAAATATTACGTGTAGGGAAAAGGAAAACTGGCTTCAAGCAGACAGGTGAGGTATTCTTATGTGATGTGCATGTTTATGCAATTTGATTAGCTAAGAAATGTATGACCTATGCCTGTGTATTGCATGTAGTCAAAATATTGAACCTCACTTCCTTTTACCAGCATTCCTGGTATCCAAAAATGGTACTAATTACAACCAAAGACATTTGAGCCAAAAGCAAAACAGCAAAAAAACCCAATCAGTTCACTGCCTACTTGATTAGCTAAAATAAGTTGAATAAAAATATTATGCCCTGTTCTATAAATTCCAGAAAGAGGAATCATAGAATCATCAAGGTTGGAAAACACCCCCAAGATCCAAGTTCCACTGCTAACCTAGCACTGCCATGTTCACCATCCAACGAGCACCCAAAGCTTTCACCAGTTGAAGAGAGGAATCATGGATAAAAATCAAGGCCTTTATCCAGCCAAGAGTTCTCTGACCATTCCTAAAAGTGTAAAAGCATACAGAGAATGCACCACAGATACCTTGGTGTCAACCTAAGCAGATCCTGACTCACTGAGAATGACAAGACAGACGGCTCTTGTCACCTCACAGCATCAGTCCTGCATGAAAAAAATCCACGTATTATAGGCCTGTCATGAGAAAGTTTGACTTTGAGCTCTCTTTTATTCTCCTATTCCTTTTCAGAAGACTGCTCTCTCATTTAAGATATATATAAAAATTGGAGGCACATATCATTCATTTTCCATTAGATCCTTTTAAGAAATTGGAATAATTACATTCTTCTTGCCAGAATTCATGCCTCTAAGTGTTCCATAAAAATGTTCAATTCATTACAGAAAAATTCTGTTTACAGGAAAAAGACTGTACTGTAAATCTGACTTTATCTACATTCTCATCAAAGAGAAAAAAAAAATAGAAGCATTACAGACAAGCATTGCATAAATATTACTGCAATAAGAAGGACTACGGGAGTTTTGCCCAAGTAGGACTATAGAATGAGGCCTTGTAATATGAAAAAGACACAGAATTGGAATTAGGGCATAGGGACATTGCAGTAGATGAAAAGGAGACCAGAGTAAATCAAAGCAAAACAGGCCTTGGCTCACTCTGGTAAATTAATTCCAGTGAACAGGATGAAATAGCTGAGACTCTTCCTATCTATATGTATATACACACATATGTATGTATGTATATATATATTTCTATATAATATACAGTATCTATATAAGTGTATATGTAGATACACTTAGGTACAAATGTGTATTTATATATAGATATATAAAATCAAAATTG